TAAAAATTCTTTTAATTATTTTTTATGTTTGCTTCTTATTATTATCAATTTTGTATTAAAGAATAATTTTACAAAGGAAAGAAACATATATGGACATATAATTATATATAATTATATGTGGAACTTTTTTTCCCGGGCAGGCTCAGGCCTATATATTTTTGTAGCCTTCTTCCGAGAACTTTCGCGAAAGATCGGCGATGGGCGCGTTCGCACGGCGCGCTCGCGCGAATCGGAGATTCGCGATTGGCCGCAGGGTGAGCGGCATGGCGCGGCGCGTCGCGGGGGAAGGTGGTGGTTGGGGGGAGGGGAACGTCGCGATATATCGCGAGAATCACCCCTTAATCGGCGCGGTAATCGGGCGCCGTCGGCGAATCTCGGGTTTGCGCTCGGCTCCGTCGGTGCTCCGCGGTCGTGCGCGTTCAGCGCGTTATGAATCTCGTTTAGTTTGGTGCCTTTGGCAGGTTACGATCAAAAGCGACCGCCGTGCCCGCTCGCCCGCCGAGCGACTCGCCGACGGACCGACACGGAGAGTACCGGATATATCACGGTGTGCGTTATCGCGACAGGTGCCGAGAGCCCCGGAGTAGACTTTAGTGCGGCACGAGGGAGGAGGCCGGACAACGCGCGCGCGCGCGCGCGCGAGCGATAGAAGGAGAGAGAGAGAGAGAAAGAGAGAGCGACACAGGGAGTGACACGCGACGTGGTGCGTGATACATCCGTCCGTTTGTCCGCCACCCGCCCGCTCGACCGCGACGTCCGTCCGTCCGTCCGTCCGTCCGCTCGTCCACAGCCACCTGTACGCACGGCACGGTACGGCACGGCACGCACGACGCACGCACGGCGTCGAGAACGCGCGCGCGAGAGACCGCACGCGCATACATACCCACACACATACACATAAAGCATACATACACACGCACGCGCCACACATCATACACACACACACACACACACACTCGGACGCACGGAGGAGACCGACGAGAGATCCCCCGGTCCAACGGCGCCAATTTAATGGATCCGAGCATCGGTTGGTACCAACCGGAGCAGTACGGCCCCGCCAAGGACCTTTGGTTGCACATCTGGGAGGCCGAGAAGGGCCTCGACGTTCTGACCCTGCGTAACGACGCGAACACGAGTAATGCGATGGGCGTGCGGCTGCAGCAGGACTTCCTCGCGCTGGACACGAGCCCGGCGGCGGCGACGACGACCGCGGCCGGCACCACAGCGCCGTCATCCAACACCATCGCCGCCGTTAACAACGCCGGTGCCGGCTTTGGCGCTGGTAATAACGGCAACAGCAACGGCGGCAGCGGCAGTAGCAACGGTAGCAACGGCCGGGCCGCGTCCGCCGTTCACGGCAATGCTGCCGGCAACAACGGCAACAACGGCAACGAGCACCGCGTGCCCCACAACGCCTGCAACTACTATTACAACCCGTCGCGCAGGAAAGGCGAGAACCGGGCGAGCACCTACGGCATGAACTACAATTACGACGCCCTCGTGGGCGAGTACGGCGGCTGCCCCTGGCGCATGCCGAACAAGCACTACTCCATGGGGACGATCGGGTGAGTAATCCGGCACGCGGATCATCGGCCCCGAAGGCGATCGCCGCACGGTCCATATGGCCGTTCGGTTAGGTTATGTTAGGCACCCGTCCGCTCGGCACGGGGCACCTTTAAAATGCTCCCCTTCCGGTGGCATCGAAGACTCGGAAGGATGTCTGAGGAAGAGTTAACTGGGGGTAATGGCATGTAGAGCAGTCTTTTGGGATTTAGATATTGCCTCCTCTTGTCGTTACTGCGACAGAGAGAGAGAGAGAGAGAGAGAGAGCGAGCCGTCTTCCCTGCACAACACGTGGATAAGAGGTTTTTGTGGGAAGAATGCTCTCTCTCTCTCTCTCTCTTTCTCTACGTAGGTTTACAAATAAAGCTCGTAAATAGTTTGAAGTTTATTATCGTTATTGCTGGCTCGCAAGAAAAGTGTAAACATATCCAGCGGAAGGACAAGGTATGCCAAGCGCCTTAGGCAGATATCTCAAACAATGGAATTTCTATTTCTAAAGTTTTTAGGAATTTGCATTTATTGCGAATATTTGCATTTTTTTTACTGGATCACTTTAAAGATATTGAGAGACTGCCTCTCAATCATACATTGACAGTTTTTTGTTTGTTCTGTTTAGATTACACGAGGAAATAGAAGATTTTTTCTCATACATGTGTCCCTCACACGAAGAGCATGTATTAAGATTGAGAGTTGTAAAAAGGATAGAAAACGTAATTTATGATCTCTGGCCAGACTCTAAAGTCGAAGTATTCGGTAGCTTTCGCACTGGTTTATATTTGCCTACAAGGTAAGTGTATCCTCGTGCATTTGTAAACAAAAAAATAAAAAAATGTGAATAAATGTATAATCTGAGAACATTTGTTCACTGTAGACTTGTGTTTTACGAATTAAATATACATATAGATACTGTCCTATTGCAGTGATATAGATTTGGTAGTAATAGGGATGTGGACAAATCTTCCATTGCGTACTTTGGAACGTGCTTTACTAGATCAAAACATCGCTGAGCCGTGTTCTATTAAAGTGTTGGACAAGGCCAGCGTGCCGATCGTCAAACTGACCGACAAGGAAAGTGAGATTAAGGTAGACATTAGCTTCAATATGAATAACGGCGTCAAGTCCGCCGAGTTGATAAACTCCTACAAGAAGCAATATCCGGTTCTGGAGAAGCTAGTCATGGTATTGAAGCAGTTCCTGCTACAAAGAGATCTTAATGAAGTGTTCACCGGCGGTATATCCTCGTACAGTTTAATACTCATGACCATCAGTTTTTTACAAGTGAGTACAATTGTCTCCGGGATGGCATGCATCCTGGCACTGTGAAATCACCAGTGTATCGTTGCGATGAACTTTCTCGAGGCCGCAACTAACTGTCATTATCAAATTAAGTGTTCTTTTTTTCTTATTACTGCAGTTACATCCGAGAAAGGATATTCATTGTCCAAATACCAATCTGGGAGTGTTGTTGATTGAATTTCTAGAGCTGTATGGTAGAAAGTTCAATTATGTTAAGACTGGCATTCGCATAAAGGATGGCGGTCAATATATATCGAAAGAAGAGGTCTAATAACAATTTATATTTACATAATTTCTAGTATGAGGCTCCATGTGTTAGCACTTTGATACTAATTACACATGTTGATTGACAGATTCAACGAGATATGATAGATGGTCATCGACCATCTCTGTTGTGCATAGAAGACCCGCTCACACCCGGGAACGATATCGGCCGTAGTAGTTACGGTGCTTTGTATGTAAAGAGTGCATTTAATTGGGCCTATTGTATTCTCTCTCAAGCGGCCAATCCCTCAAATATCTTAATCAATGACGCCAGTAAAGTAAGGTATAAGATCCTTATTATTAATCTGTTTCTTCTACTCTACTTTGTTTCGTACGACTTCATATTTTTATGAAGTGCTGGAAATTACGATAAACATACTTTCATTACATGCAGCATACTGGGAAGAATAATCCGTGTGACCGACGAGGTAATAGAATATCGTAGATGGATCAAAGAAACATTCCTCTTACCCGTAAGCGAAGGAGACTCTCTGTCAAGCTCAACTGGCTCTGATGCATCCACTCTTTCAGCTCCCGCTAGTGATACGGTAAACACAAATGTCTTAAAAAGTGTTTTTGTCATATTCACATTAACATTTTTTTGTATATAATATTTTAATTTACTTGATTTTATTTCACATCTTGTAATATAATGATAATTGATGATTGTATAATTGTTGATTGTATCCTTACATAATCCAATATATCCTTATTGTATCCAATTATACCCCAATTATTATAGGATGTGAAACAAAATCAAGTAAATTTAAGGAGTCGCATAAAATAAAAAGAAACGGGGATAAGAACAGAGAATAAGAATTTCAACCGTGTACTGTGGAATATACGGTTTCTGATAGATTGAAATTCTTGTTCCCCGTTCCCTTTATTCCTTTTATTCTCCCCTAACAATAAAGGATCGCGCCATTAATTCTGAATTTAATTTTATGTCTGTCTAAGGATTCTGAGTGTAGTCGTGGCAATTCACCAAATACTGGTGGGAAGAGCGAAAACGACAGAAACAAAGATAGGCTCTTTTATAATAATCACCAAATCCATTATTCCGGAAGAAAAGCATTCAAAGCAACCACTCATGGTACGGCAATCAACCGATTCTATTTGCTACCTGTGTATATTACGAAGTTGCTGCAACAGATTTCAATAAGATTGTTACACATAACGTTCGACGGTATCTTTCGCATTTGACCGCGCGCTATTTCTTACCGATGTTTCTCTGTTGCAGCCAATCACCAACAGAATTTCAAAGGCAGTTATAATCGCATCAACAACAATATAGTTGGTCAGAACAAGACCAAGCATGCGCTTCACAGTAATGGAAACAACAACAACAACAATAACAACAACAACAATACTAGTCACAGTCCAGGCTCTAGGCCGCAATCGATGAAGAGGAAGAAGCATTGCACGATGCAACGTGGGACCGGGGATTGTGTACGGTGATGAAACGTGCACGATAATTTTGGACATTACTTCCGTCACTTAAGTAGCGAGCTCAATATCATAACTGTGTGATAGAAAAGACAGCGATTAATGGTCGGTAATTGTAATAACTGGAATCATCCTATGCGACTACTATTTCGCTTTCAGTTTCAGTTTCAATGTACAGAAGGGCACAACGGTTTACGGTTCGGAGAGAACCAACATTTCGGAAATTTTACTTATTCTTGTGCAGAACAAGAATGCTCGAGAGCAGTAGCTATACATATAATACATATTTCTTGTTCTCCCCCCCCCTCTCCAAGTTGCCAGAATCATATTTTGCTCTGTACGCAAGAGTTTATATGTTAAAGACGTACAGAACTTTTTAATTGAGAAGCGAGATAAGAACCATTTATATATTTTACTTTCATTGCACAGGTTATAAAAACGTTACCCGGTGTAATAATACTTTATTAATTATCACTTATTTAAAAAAAATTTGGAAAAATTTATCATTGCCATCGTCGAATAGTAATTGTGTTCACAGCCATAATGAGTAACATTGTAATACATTTAAAGTACGAATAGTATACACAGATGATAATAAGTTATAGTACGTTTTTCTCAACACACGAAACTAAAACACCGATAGTGACAACAAAAAAAAACTTAGTTTTCTATATGAAACTATATTCTTATAACAGAAGGGCGACAGCAAATTTGGTGATATTGGACACTTATACCTAATGTACATATTGTAACATACATTATCAAACATAGAGAAGTAAGTCTAAGAGTTACCTACTACAAATTTTTTTTAACTTATCTAAATATCTAAAAATAGCGTTTATTATAGTGATTTTATCATAAAATATTCGTGGAGAAAGCCATATCTATTTAAAAGTATACTATTTTTTTGTTTTTTTTCTCTACAAAGCATTAATATATCGTTGTTGAACAATTTTGGATGTTTTTCAGATTTTAATAAAATTGCAGATTTACGCGCGAGTATAATTACGATGGTAAACAAAAAAAATATATATTAAATTTCGAATAACAATATTTTTTAAAAAGTAGCTTATTATCAAGACAGTGATGACACGCTTCGAATCTTCGCAGTCTATTTCGTAGCAACAATTTTTTTTTTCTTTTGCAAATTAGCTTTACCTATCTTCTTTTGTACAGAGACGCCAGTTTCTTAATGTTAGTTCATAATTCTTAATATCATCTGAACAATGATGTATTATTTTTATATCAGATAATTAAAACGAAAAAAAAAACAGGAAAAGTTTGTATACAAAGGGAAGAAAAAAACGAAGAACCTGATATTTATGAATCTTACATTGCATTTGATGAAACTTATGTATATGACAATACGCGAAAAGGCCTTGACATTACTTAAAAAAAAAAAAGCTCTGTATGTTACGTTCATCGATCATGATAGACATAGCTCATTATTAAAAAAAAAAAACATTACATTCCGTTGACGCAATAATTAATAAGACAGAATAGAGTGCTTATCGCAAGCAAATCTCACTTCGAATGACATCAGATCAAAGTCCCTTCTGGTGCTACTGCATTTTTGTGTTCAACGACTTTTAATGTGCGATGTAAAGATCTATCTCTGTAATTGTTTAATTTAGCCACGTGAATTGAGGATGTTTAGCTGTTTTTAAATTATACAAAACACCCAGTATTCCGTGTATATTATTTAACTTAAAAGCTCTTTCATATGTAATATTGTACGCTGTGATTGAATTTAATAATTAAATTGTCAATTGCTTAAAGATATATATAAATATATATAAATATATAATTTAAATGTTATTGTAAAGCATTATATAAAGCCATACTACATTTTTAAAAGGAACTATGTAAACTATTATTATCGCTTAGTGATCCTCGACAAAAATTACGTGTTTTTTTTATAAATATCAGAATTTCGTAAAATCATTGAAGGTTTGATAACGAAACTTCGTGATCACTCATATTTATCGAATTTCCCCGGACCTGTAAGAAAAAATGCGCAAAAAAAGATGAAAAGGTTTAATAAATATGAATGATGCCGATATCTGATCTTAAATTATTTCTCGTTTGTATATTTTTAAGGGAAACGATTTTACCTCGTATATAGCCATCATTTAAGACCAGCTAAACCGTTTGTGAAATTTCTCTCTCGATATAGCAATATAATACTCTGTATTTTCCAAAAATTTTGATAGTCATTGTATATTTATATTTGTGTGAGTATATTTTTAAATAAGCAATAATATAACAAATGTAACGCGATCGGTGATACCGTTTTACCATTATAGAATTGTAACTGTCGTCGTTTCACACAGCCGTTACATCGAGATTGTAAAAAATATTTAACTGGCGCATTACTGAAAGTTCGTAATTGTGTAACTGCGAATTTTCAGAAAGTACAGGCAACAATACAGTTACCCGTACTTTAGTAATGTCTTTTTTTGAATAAAAAAAAAAGCTTTCGCGAGGAGAAAGGAAAGTGAGATAGCAAGCAGCATGCGGACTAGACCGTTATGAATTTTTAGAAGACGAGACCGGCAACAATTTGTACTTAATAATTGTCTACTCACTCTACTCGTAAGTTTGTACATGTATGTTTAATTCGAGGCAAGATGTGTGGAAAAAAATGTACAGAAACGAAATAAATCTTACTTACCTTTTTCTTCAATCGAGTCCTACATTTGAGCGATTTACATTTAATTTCTAGTAATTTAACACATACTAATTTATATTTATCTTATCTATATGTATATATATATATATATATCACATATAATTTAATATATCATAAAGACCATAAATTAATAGCAACGTACTTTTGATATATCGATAAGCGCTCTAATGTAATCACTTGGCATTTATTAAAATTTCGCCACTTGTACATGTACATACAAGCGCCCGGAGAACGAGATACTGTACATGATGACTAAGTAAATTAGTAGTAACAAGGTAAATTTAATTTACTTTCGAGCGCAGAGCCCGTCGATCGGATTCATATCAAGCTTCTTCATACGGTCTAACTGCGCCAATCGTCTTTCTAGCGAGAACGTTTCAGGCAAAGGTGGATAAACTGGAAGAAGACAAAAGAAGTTGCGTTTAAATCGTTGCGGTCTCTCGGCGACGCTAATCGAATTCTCCACGAATCGTGTCGAGGGTAAACGAACGTACCAAATGTATGGAAGTACAGAAACAGCCATATGGCGGCGGTCACCACCATCATAGTTATGCCGACCATGCCCTTCCACTCGCCCGTCGGTGCATTCATCTCGCAGAACGTCTGGCGAAAACTGGCGCGATACAGAGCTTTCTTCTCCTCGATCGACAGCTTCTTCCAGTCTCCCTTTTCCTTCTCTCTCAGCGCCTGACGAAAACATGGGTAATTGATCAGACAATTATGGCTTACAGTTGACGATTCACGAGAGATCTTCAGCTCCGTAGTTCTCTCACCATGACATCGGGGGTGTTTTCCTTCCAGCGTACCGCAGGACAAGGGAAATCCACCCTGTCCAAGTAGGTGGGCTCACCGTTGTATCCAAAGCCGACCACATCCCTGTTACCGACCCGGTCCATCGTCATCATTCCGCATCTTTGGATCTGGATGACGGATCGCAAGCGACTCGCAAACAATCTACCTGCCATTGCTCACTGCAAAAAGAAAATAGAATATTGCGGGAACTGACGTTTGAGACGTTTATTCCGCACGTAGAATTCGATATCTTATCATTGAGTAAAATACGTGGAGATTTATGTAACACTTGTAAAGATTGACGAAACGATAAGATGCGTATGAAATTAAAGTTCCCGTTTAAGAATTAAGTTATCAGCTGTGCGTATATCGCGACACTCTCCGAGTTGTCTGCCAATTCAGCGCAGATTATGCGCTTCAACATCCTCTGCAAGATTTATTTGTATACTCGGTACTCCGTAATTGTATCGCAAAATTATTTGTTGTATGGTACAAGCAACTGAGATATCCACCTCCGTGCCGCGTTCAACGGAGTTCTCGCAGAAATGTCAATATTCCGAATGCCTCGCTGCGAGACCGAATACGATGCGTGAAAGTGTATTACCTAATTGTGATAGCGAGGATAGCGCAAGAACGGAAACGCACGACGGAAGAGACTCTCCGTCACGAGGAGGCTCGATGGAGATTACGTAATCGCGTCGAAATCGACTGCTGCGTCGTCGCGAGAAATTAACGTTAACGCCGTACAACTCACCACCGTTCGCAAATTTATTTCGCGACACTCGACAGACACTACAAGTCTCTCTTTCTCTCTCTCTTTCTTACTCTCTGTCACACTCGCGCAGGGCACTGCCGCAGCGCAGAAAGTGATGGAGAATGAAACAGAATAAAATGGCCGGGAACAGATTCATGGACGTAGGAATATACCCTCATGAAGTTAGCCCGCGAAATAAAAATTTCCGAACGATCAATAACTCAAAATAATGCTTCAGATTTGCTCCGTTCATATTGATGAATATAAAAAATTGCTCCCTTTTACTTTTTTAAAAAAATCCAAAAAACGATTTTTTACGAAAAACATCCAGAACTTTTGATCTAATTGATATTTTTAAACAAACAAGATCTCAAAATTTTGCTCCAAATTTGCTCCATTCAAAGCAATAAATGTTATTAATTAGTTTTTAATAGTTTCTTTTGTAAATTAAAAGAAATTTTTGTGATAAATCTAGGGACTTTCGTTGAAAAGCGGTAACTTTTTATCAAAGTGATAGTTTACAGTAAATAAAGTCTCAAAATAATGCTCCCGGTTTGCCCCATTTGAATAAATCAATTTCATAAAATGCACCTTTGCATGTTTGTTTAAATAGAAAAAAAAGTTTTTGTCCAAAATCTAGGGACTTTTATTAAACGCGCATGCACATCGGTAAAGTGGCTGCGTTCCGCAAAGCGCATCATGCGCATGATGTATCATGGTATCCTTGTTGTTCACCAAATGTTAAACAAAGATAAAAAGATAAATTTTGCGCATGATGCGCTTTGCGGAACGCAGGCACGGCCAGGCACGGCAACCGGCGCGGGTCTCCCCTCTTTTCTTCTTCCCACTAGAGTCCTAGATTATCAGAGAAGCGCGACCGGTGTTACGAGTCCTGATTGGACACGCAAATGGCCAATCATAAGATTGATTTA